TGGAGAAGCTGGGAGGGGGTGGAGAAGCTGGGAGGGGGGGTGGAGAAGCTGAGCCGTGGAAACAGCACAATGACCAAGTGGGACACACTGCCCACTGCCAAAGGGGCACTTTAGAGCTTTCCAATTTCTTAACTCTGGTGAGATAAGCAGAACACTGACCACCTGGGCCAATTTTTTCATTCATTTTTCAACTGACAGGTCATCGTTGTGCGCCGTCATGGGGGAGAGTGTGAAGTTTGGCACAGTCTGGATTGTGTGATGACCAACTCAGGACACTTCATCCATCATCTCAGTATTGATCATTTCTTGGTGAGAAGAATCCAACACCATCTCCTCCAGCCTCTCTGAATTCCAGCATGTGGACCCGCATGACCTTTCTCTGTAACACAACAGCACAACCCAATCATATCTAGCCAGGACTCTGTACCCCCCATTCTGCTCCCCAATTCTAGGAGCTGGATTTTTCTTTGAGGTTCCACATATGAGGGAAACATGGCACTTCCCATTCTGTGCTTGGCTTATTTCACATAAATGATGTCCAGATCCATCCAGGTGTCCACGAATGACAGGAATCCATCCTTTTTCAGGGCTGAATAGTATGCCATGTGGATATATACCACATTTTCCTAATCCATGCATCTGTCTACCTATACTTAGGCCAGATGTGTGTGACTTAGTAGGGGAAATCTCCCCAAGACAAAATTCTGCAGAATGCAGAATTAGGTGTAGACTCATAGAATTATTACTCCCTTTTACTATTGAGAAAACTAATTTTCCTATGGTGGCAGTTTTTAAGGGGAAGATGTAGGATTCAAACCAAGGTCTGTCTAACTCCAAAGCCAATTTCCTTAACCACGGCATTATAGATGTACCTCTGTATTCAGACCAAGAGAGAAGTTCAATAACTTAAAGAGAATTATTCGGATTTTCAAGTGCTATCCTACCTGAAAGATACTTTGTTCTCCATCATTTAAGTAAAACTGGAATTGCTAGATCCGGGGCAGTCTCTTCATGAGGTGACTCTGTGAGGAGGTAGACGTATTTTAAATATCTTAATAAACACATCTGGAGCGGAGCCCAGCACCCCATCATCCAAGTCCCTTAAAAAAAGAACTAGAGAAAAGGTAAATTGTTCAAAGCCACAGAGGCTGAACCAGCAATCAAAATAGCAGCTAGAATCAATTTGTGAGGCACAGTCAGATCGCTACCCCTCCACCCCGTCCTCAAAACAGATAAGTCCATCTCTGTGGCTAGCAATTCCCATTGTCTGTTTTCTGAATCCTACAGCACTGCCCATTGGGCGGGTCATCATGCCGTGCTGATAAAGCATTTTGCAAGTAAAAAAAATCGTAGCTGGAAGACAGGACAGTTGCTAGCCAATAATAATAATAATAATAATAATAATAATAACAATAATAATAATAAAGCTGTAAGATGGCAGGAAAAGACATCCCGGAAGCCAGGGCTCCCCCCGCCTACGCCCAGCCCTCCTAGACTCTGGCTGGGCGGACATCCTCTCTTATTTAAAAAAAAAAAAAGCAACTAAAAATCAGAAACCTTAGATGTGGAGCTTCGTCGCTTTGGGGTCCTCAGTTGCAAGCAAGGGACCAAAGCAGGAAAGGGATCTATATGAAGGAGCTCACTACGGAAGGTGGGAGACCCAGGATGTAGAGAGACAGATGCTGCTATTGAGAACTGTCGTGTCTAACTAAAGAGGATCCCGTGTAAAGAAGAGAAAACATTTTTAAAAATCTGTTGAAGTGTTCACCGTTCTCCCTCGGCGTCGGCCTCCCCGACTGGGTTCCGTCTGTGACCGTGTCCCCCTGCGCAGGGTTCAGTGTCTTGAATCAGGTGCCTGCTCCCGGAATGTTCTAGAATGTTGAAAGGGAGCAGCTGCAGGAGAGCAGGAGACACAGAGGAGGCAGGAGCCACCCGCTGCAGGTTACCGCTGGCCTGGCCCAGTCCCTGCTCCTGGGATCTCTCCTGCTTTGCCTTATGGGCTTTCCCGGGACATCTCCTATCCAAACTGTCACATCAGCCAAGGTCAGTCTGTTACGTGGCGGCCGGGGACCGGCTGGGGACACCTGCCATCCTGAAACTTGACACAGAGGCATCTGGGTGGACGTCTGTGAAAACAGGGGTCCGCACCCACCCAGGACTCCCCGCGGGTGCAGAGGTAGCGCCCGGGCCTGGGAGACCCAGCGGCCGTTCTCCTGGATAAGGCGAGAGGTGGCCCCCAGCAGGCCTGCCTGTGCCTTCTCCCAGGACGCCCGGCCAAGAACTAGGGCCACGTCCCTGGCTGAGCTGGCAGAGAGACGGGTCCCGATGGCAGATCGACATCCCAAACTGCACACCTGAAGGACTCAGAGCACCAGACGACAGGTCCAGCCAGGCTGCTTCTCCAAGACTGGACCTAGGTAATGTCCAGGGATCCCGACAGACCTGAGCCTGGGAGACATTGGAATCCTGTGGCGGATAGGCATATCGAGCTGGAGACGGAGAGAAAGTGGGAATCAAATCAGCTATGAAATATCTACACTTACATGCCCCCACACAAAAAGACAGGACTCCAAAAGAAATTAGTGCAAATGCACAAACGACACCTTGAAGAATGTGTGTTCTTTGTTGAAAACCATTTCAAAGGTAGACGACTCAAATAATTTATCAATGGATAAATCGTGGCATAGGATATAATGGGATATTATGCAGAAGTGAAAAAGGTAGCAAGATACTAGAAGATAAATAAATCTCACAAATAATGCTGAATAAAAAAAAATTGAGGGAATATTCTGTATGATTCTGTTTATATTGATTTTAAAAAAAAAGCACTGAGTGAATTGTAAAAAGAATTAGAATAAGAGAAGCCAGGACCAGGACAGGGGAGTTAAGGTTGAATCACAAAAGACTTGAAGGACAGTGGTATTCAATCTTGATCTAAGGGGCAGCCACTTGGAAGCATCCACAAAAAATTCATTTCAAGCCAGACACTTCAGATGTGTGATCACAAAACATTCGATCATATAATTGTCATGTGTCAATAAACAGTTTCAAATTCATGAAGAAAGGGAAGAATGATATATGCCCGAATGTGGTCTAGATCTCTCTGCCTGGTGGAATAAAGCAGAATTTTAAGTCCTTTCATTAAAAATTTCAGAATTTTCCCAATTTTCTTTAAGGAGTCTCTTTGTCAGAAGATAGGAACAAGGCTCTTCTCCGGAAGGGAAATAAATCACGGGGAGTTGTGCAAACTTCAGACGGATGTCAGACACCCAGACATTTGGCATGCAAAGCTGGTTCCGGAACCGTCTGGGCCCGAGAAACATCACTCTCTGTCCTAATTTGGCCCATTCATCACCATCCTGAAGCAGTAACTGTGCTGACGGCAGAGCTGCACAGCTCTGCTCACAGAAGCGTCCTCTAGAAATTAAAACTGGAGTCTGTAACTTGGAACCCCAAAGCTACGGTACCCGAAGTAGTTAGCCTCCCTCCATATTCTCCTTTGAAAAGTGCCCACGATGCTCCAGTCAAACCACCATCACAGGCCGCCGGTGGAGGGCCGTCCTTCAGTCTGGGCCCCGATCCGCTTGTATTTTAATAGCTGTTTTCCGATATTGAGTTACCAAGGCTTCCGAAGCCCCTTCACGGCTATTCTTAGCAAACAAATGTTGTGCCTTACAATTAGTGACTTCCTTCCTAATTATGGCTTCCCCCCTCCCCCATTTTCACACGAGATGACAAAAAATTCATGTTTTGCCCAAGAACTTGCTTATTAGTTTAATGAAAATTTGTCTAATAGCAGCCTTTGAGATGCCCTGACAAAAATCCAAAGCAACAGTCAGGCAATGAGAAAGGTTGCTTTCATAGGAACATTCAGAATTAATTTCTGGGGAGAGACTGGGAAATGAGACATAGGAGGCATAATTTCTTCCAAAAAAAGATTAAATAGTCTTTCTAGAGTCTGTAGAATTTAACATTGTTCAGTTTATCCATCTGCCTCCCTCCCTCCCTC